TGGAGCTGCTCCCTGGGGCGGTACCTGGCCGGTGCTGGCGGGAGGCTGGACCTGAGGGATGGGGTACTGGGTGGGCACGGGCGGCACGGCCGCGGGCAGCGCGGGCAGCACCCCCGGGGCCAGGGGCACGGCGGGGGGCACCAGGCCTGGCACCCCGTAGGGAGGCTGGACGGGCTGCTGAGGAGGGGGCACGACAGGGTAGCCAGACTGGTACCCGTTGGAGGGGTAGTAGGACGGCTGGGAGGGGACGCTGTTGATGGTGGCGGGTTGGGTGAAGCCTGGAGGAGAGAAAGAAGGGGGAAAAAGAGGGTTATAATTAAATCAATTAATAACAAATGGAAAAGGAGTTCGGCTCTGAAAGCTGAATTAGTGCTGGGATTTACCTGCCAAGGGGACTGCAGTGGTTATCTGGTTCACAAAGCGGGAGTACTCGGCGTGAACCTGCAAAGGATTCCCAGAGATCACACAATAAACATCTATTTTCCAAATTAACCTTTGTGTGATCCCCACACAATAAACATCTATTCCCCAAATCAACCCTTGTGTGACCCCCACACAATAAACATCCATTCCCCAAATTAACCTTTGAGTGATCCCCACACAATAAACATCTATTTCCCAAACTCCCACACAATAAACACCTATTCCCCAAATCAACCTTTGTGTGATCCCCACAAAATAAACATCTATTCCCCAAATCAACCTTTGTGTGACCCCCACAAACCTGGGAGTGTGTCCTGCTGATCACAGAGCACCCCATGCACAAGGGCAGCAACAACCCAAACACTAAAACCCACCCACCAAAACCCCCCTGAACAGACCCTGTTGGCCCCTCTGGGGTAGATTCCTGTAAAATACAGGATAACTTTTCACACATTAAGAGAAGTGGAAAAAAGAGAATGGCAAATTAATTGCTACAGCAGAGACAAGATACTCAGAGAACCTAAAAGTTTCCACATATTTTTTTCAAAGGAAACTTTGTAGCCTACACTCAATTATCAATATTAACAGAAAGGCTCCCACAGGGTTTTACTCCATTTGCATTCAGGTGAGAAAACCTGAAGAGAGAAACTGATTTTGTGAGAGATTTTTCAGAATTTTTTTTGGTTACACCAATCACTTCCTCTCTCCTGAAGCAGATAGTGCAGCTCTGGACAACATGGGAAGCTTTTTTTTCCCCCCTTAAAATTCCACTAGTACAGCTCCATCCTGAGAAATGTTCATTGGCTGTACAAGAATTAAGACAGCAGCACTTGGAAGGGAAAACCCCTGTGCAAGTCAGACACACAGACATCAAAAAGAGCATTAAAAAAATCACACCCCAAAGGTCCAACAGGCTCTGAAAGCTCGTGTTTGTAAGGGCTACTCACCGTTTGCAAGAGGTTCTCACACAGTTTTTTAGCAGCTGCCAAACCTTCTGGCTTTGGGTGGCTGAAAGGACAGACAAAAAACAAAAAAAACACCTCATCAGCACAACTCTGTCAGATTTGGGAGCCCCCTCTTCCATCAGCAACCTGCTGTCAGACTTATCCCCTCCAGAAGAAACTCTGGGCTAAGAATTCAGGTTTCAAGAAGAAAACTTGGGCTGGTGGAAGGTGTCAGGGTGGAACTGGATGAGTTTAAGGTCCCTTCCAACCCAAACCAGTCTGGGATTCTCTAATTCCACTCTGTCACCGCAGGGTTGATTCTTTATCACTTTACAGACACTTTTATCAGAGTAAAATCGGGTTCAATCAACTTCACTGGCATGAAGGGAGGAGGAATTAAGGATTTCCCAACATTGAGCCACATTTTTGGATCAAGAACTGGCTGGAGGGCCCAGGGAGTGCTGGGGGATGGATCCAGGTGGGATCTGGGCACTGGGGGTGACCCCAGGGGGATGGAGCTGCCTCCAGGTGGGATCTGGGCACTGGGGGTGTTCCCAGGGGGATGGAGCTGCATCCAGCTGGGATCTGGGCACTGGGGGTGTGTGGAAAATACTGTGGAAAGTATTAGAGAGACATGGTTGATAGAAAGAGGCCATGAGAGAGACACGATAGCTCTGGTCCCACGGTAAAGGAAAACTGCTCGAAGGTCACTGTATCTCTGGGAAACTGTGTATGTGACAGAAGAATAGAAGAAAGTGGATGGGAAAGCAGAACAAATAGCAAATAAGTAACCATAAGAATGGGAAAGAAACAGCATTTGCACAAATATAACTTAGGTAATTAGAAGCCAATGATGAGCCTGCGCTTGTAATATGTATGAGGCTAATTATTAACCTTTATAAGCACAAAGCCTGCAGCAATAAAGTTGGATTAGTCACGATCAACTCTATGGTCGTGTATTCTATTCCCGCCGTCTACAACAAATGGTGACCTCCGAGGTGAGAAAACGGGGGAATCACGGTTGGATGGGAAGGTGTCGGAGCCTTAGCAGCGAGGCTGGTTGGAAAAAGTCGGGATAAAGAGCGACTTCAGACCTGGAGCTGGTCAAAAAATCGGCATAGTGACTTGGGACCTGGAGCTGGTCAAAAAGTTGGCATAAAGAGCGACTTCAGACCTGGAGCGTTGTATCAACAAGCTCTACCATACGTGCTGCCGGACCTTGAAGGGCTGCAACAGTGCTGATATAGGTATGGACAGGGAAGCAGCATATAGTTTATTTTCTGAATTTTTGCAGAAAAAGGGGATAAAGGATATAGATCTTAAAAAGGAACTGCCAGGGTTGCTTGCTTTTGGGTATGCTAAGGGTTGTTTTATTAATCCGCACACAGTACATTCCTTGGAGGAATGGCGTAAATTTGGAGATAAAATATGTGAGGCTGTTTTAGATGATGATAAAGATGCAAAAAAGCTGGGAAAGCTTTGGAGGGTGGTTCATGATACAGTGTTGCAACATGAGGCAGAGAAAAGAGCTGCAGAGCAGGCTCAGGGTATTCAGCAACAGAACAAAGAGTATTACAGAAAAGATTGGTTTTCTAACACTCCAGTCCCCCCGGCAGTTCAATCAGTCTTGCTCCCGGCACAACCTTCTGCCCCCCCTAAAGAGAAGGTTGTGGATTCAGATTCGCCTAAGGTTCCTGCCCCTGTAGAATCCACAGCTGCTGGTGAAAGTGCTGACCCGTGGCCACAGCCACCCCCTCCTGCTTTAGAAGCTTAAGAGCCTGTCCCTGGGGCACTCGGTGACTCGGCGGAGGCCGTGGCTAAAGAACGGAGGGAAACCTGGGCAGCGTTGGCTAAACATTGCCTGTCACAGGGTGATTCTCAAGGATTGCAGGCAGCAGAGGGCATGGCATCCCCAGGAATTTACAATCAAGTGCCAGGGGGAGCAATGACTGCTACTATCACTCCTTTAGACTGGAAGCTTTTGGCACAGCTCCGGAGCACTGTAAGTGAATTTGGTTTGCATGGGGAACCCACCAAACAAATGTTAGATTATTTTTGGGGAACTCAGCTCTTGTTACCTTCAGATCTCCGCTCCATAGTGAAAATGATACTTACAGAACGTCAACAACTTTTGTTTAGTGCTTATTGGCAGGCGTATGTTAATGAAAGTGTTGCAGAAATCAGACTGCAGGGAGATCCTTTGCATGGTGTTACAGTGGATGAGTTAATGGGGACGGGGCTGTATATTAGACCAGAGGCACAAGTGCATATTGGAGCTGATAAAGTCAGAGAAGCAATGTCTTTGGTTAGGAAAGCATTAGATAAGGTCAAAGAACCAGGGGGAGTACCATCATATATGAGTCTAAAACAAGGAAGAAATGAGTCATTTGGTGAATATGTGGACAAATTGACAGCTGCTATCACTCGAGCAGGGGTACCAGATTACATGAAGGGAACTATGTTAAAGCAGTGTGTTTTGCAAAATGCTAACTCAACAGTTAAACAAGTAATAAGAACAATGGGTCCTTACTGGACCATTGAGGAGTTATTAGAAAAGGTATTACAAATACCTACGGGAGAAAATGCATTTTTAGTCAATGCTATTCAAGATTTAGCTAAGGGGCTTAAAGAACACGCTCAGAGTTCCCAAGCTCAGGTTTTAGCAGCTCTTGCACCCCTTCAGGCAAAGGCTAATAACTTTACAGAAGGAAAAGCTCGATTAAAATGTTACCGATGTGGAGCCACCGGACACATTCGAAAGGAATGCCGAGCGACAGGACTTTGGTGTAAACAATGCCAAAACTCCACCCACAACACTTCTGCTTGCCGAAATCGTTGGGGAAACTCATGACAGAGCGCGAAGAATTGCAGTGGCCGCGCGCGGACACAAGTCGTCGCTGCAGCCCAAATAACCCCAACCAACAGTTTTTCACCCAACAATCCATTTCACGGACAAGAGAACAGCTGCAACCTGCCACAACCAATAGTCCCGGATTACAACCTGCCACAGCCGGCAGCCTCGGATTGGACTTGGCAACAACAGTAGAAGTCACCTTGTTATCCACCCAACCTCAAAAGATTCCCACCGGGAGCTCTTTGGATACCTGCCAAGTGGACTCGAGTTGCTGTGAATATCCCGAAGACCAACCACAACTTGTTGGGCAAGGAATCAAATGAACAGAACCTCGAAAATTCTAGGAGAATTGGCTCATGACTTTGATGAAATAAGACATGCTGTTTTACAGAACAGAGCAGCTATAGATTTTCTATTGCTGGCTCAGGGGCATGGGTGTGAAGAATTTGAAGGCATGTGTTGTATGAATCTTTCTGATCACTCTCAGTCCATCTACCAAAAACTAAAAGAAATGCAAGGTCATTTGAATTACTTTACAGTCCAAAAGGATCCTATTAGGGAATGGTTAGCAAAGCTAGGCTTAGGACCATGGCTCACTGAGATCACTAAACAAGCTATTTCAATTTTGCTGATACTCCTGGCTGCTTTATGCATCGTTCCTTGTGTTTTTAAATGTATACAGAATATGCTGGCAAAGGCAATAAGTGATGTGTTTTTAACATTATCAAAAGAAAACGGGGGAAGTGTGGAAAATACTGTGGAAAGTATTA